GGGGAATTCTGGGAGTTGAAGTCCACACAGCTTCAAGCGGCCAAGGTTGAGAAACACTGCTCTAGAGGTTGGTGAAAATAAAAGTTAGTTTTCTTTCCATCCAAATGCATGGATCCTGAGTGAATAAACCCCGTGCTAGGGTATGGGCTGGGGGGAGTGTGTGCATACCCCTGGCTTTTCCCACTGCTGGCTTAGGTCCCACCACCCCCAAAAATATGCCTCCTGGGATAAATTTGCCTCTCTAGCCCAGGTTCGGAGGAGGAGCCCCTTTCTAGGGAAAGGGAAGGGTCACTCACTGGCTCCTGCTGTCTCTGAGATGCTCCTGGAAGGTGGGGATTAGGGTGCAGTGATGGGTGCCCTGGTATTCACCCTGGTGGGGGGAAAGGGAGGAATGATCACTGCTGCTTGAGCACCTTTGCCCCAGGGTGGCTTCTGGCCTCAAGGAGCTTGTCCTCTAACCTTTGACCTGGGAATAAGGAGGCAGAGTTGGAGGCCAGGGTCTCCTTAACAGGTTTAGGGGTTATTGTGGATTTAGCGCCACTGAGTACAGGCCTTCAGAAGGTGTCTTCATGAGCTCCCTCAAGGCTTGTCCTGGTCCTTCTGCCCATCCCCTTCCGCCAAAGCCTGGTCTTGCCCCTGCCCAACATCCAAAAACCTCTTCTAGCTTCTTCCTCACCTTGAAAGGGGAGCTGCTGCCCTCGCTTTCGGTATCTGGCACAAGATCCCCAGATGCGTCTACAGAAAGGGGAAAAAAAAAGTTGGGGCTCTGTGCCTCGCAAGCAGAACGTCCCGCCTCTTTCTCTCTTCTTGGGGCAGAAGCAAGAGCTTTGGGATTGGACCCCACGTCCCAGGACCTTTAGAGCAAAGGGCTATTCTGGCTCCTGAGTCCAAGTCCTTGTGCAGAGCAAGAACCTCAAGGAAAGCATCTTAGACAGACACTGTCTGGCCTCTACAGGAACCCATCCAGTAAAGAACCATTAGCCATGGCTCTGGATAATTTGCTCCACTGTCCATCAGCTGCTATTGATAGAACCCCCCCCCACACACACACACACTATTTACTTGGATTTTTTCTTCCTCTAGCTGATCTTTTCCAGGGAGCATCCCATGAGGTAAAAAGTGTCACTATAGCTCTGGCAATTTTCTCAAGGCAAAACGTTCCTACGTTCCCAGCTTCTTTTAAGCCCCCCTGCACAAAACCTAATTTGTAGAGCCCTGATCTGCCTTGTTGTCCTTCCCAGAAGCTGCTCCAGTTTCTTGCCCCCCTGCCTTAAAGAGCAGAGGATAATGGGGCAAAAGGGGGAGGAAAGGATTCAGACTCATCAAGGGAAGCACAAGTAGATTTTCAGAAACAGGGAGAGAAGCAGCACCAAATCAGGAAGGATCTGTTCTCTCTCCCACCACTGGCTTCCTCACCCATTGCTTACCAAGTTCAGCCCCCAGCCCTGTTTTCTCTCATCATGGGCTAAAGTGCCAACAGTTTTTTGCATGTGTGAATGACAAGAGCAGCATAGAGTCAGGAATTGTGGACCAAACTGGCTAATTTGTATAATACTTCACAGGCTGACCCACGCAGGGCTGTTATGAGGGAGAAGAGATCACAAAGCGACACAGCCTACCTGCTTGCCAGTTGACAGAGTGATGCCCCTGGGAATTTCTGAAGGTCAATAAAGAGGATACCGTGAGCTATTTAAGAGCAGCAAGATCAGGAAAAGGGGGGCGGGGGGAGAGATAAGATGCAGGCTGATGCTTACTCTTCTGAGATGCAGGAAACACAATTCTCTCTTCTGCCCCTGCCTGGCTGTGGTGAGAAAGGCTGAGATACCCCAAGGCTGTCCTCCTCACTCTGACATGGGGAGCCTGACTGACTGGGAGAGGGTGAAAGCTCAGGACATCCTAGAGGACAGGAAGCAGGCTAAGGAACTACAGAAAACAACAGACATCTTATGCTGCTCCCTGTTTCCTTACTCACTTGCATGCTGGGATCCCACAGCTGCCAGGTACTGGGAGAGGAGGCTGGCACTGGGTTGGGGAGGCTGGCTGGAGCCTTGGATGCTGGCAGCCTCCAACAACTAGGGAAGGAAAGACAGAAGTAGGGTCTTTTCTCCAGTTTCCCCTAGTGGAGAGGAACGAGGTCAAAATAGGGAGCTTCTCAGATCAGTCCTAGTAGTTCGTTCAGCTGAGACTGGTGGCTTTGGGAAATGCAGGGGGTGGGTGGGGGGAGGGGCACTCTTTATCATTCTGGACCACTTCCACTGGAGGGGAGAGGACTGAAAGCCACACGTGCTCTACCAGAAAAGGCAGCCGTTCATTTTACTCCTTCAAATGAAGCTCAACCCCATCCCTTTTGCTTGGTACCTGCTGGAAGTGGGGTTCTGGAAGAGTCTGCTCCAGTTGCCACAAGTAATCATTGAACAGCTCCTCCACCACTTGCAGGAAAGAGTCCCCATAATCATTTTCCAGATGCTCCTAAAACCACAAAATGCCAGGGCAGCCTTTACTGTTTCAGGCCCAAAGGACTGCCAAATCCAGCAGGGTTTATAATTTAAAACAAAACACCTGTCCAGGCCCTTGTCATCACCCTCAAAGCTAACCCTTTGAAGTGGAGGTGCCCAGTTCACCCTGCAGGCAAAGCAGGCACCCTATGCTTTAGCCATGCCCCTGCCTTCCCTTGTGTGGCTAAGGTTCCAGCCTTCTGCAGACACCTTTGTCTTCCCAGCCTCACCTGCACATATTTTTCCTGGTGCCTGCGATCACTCAGCAACCCCAGTACCAGAACTCTGAAGTTTTCCTGGGCTGTTTGTACCAGCTCCAAGTCCTGAGCGGTCTATGGACAAAAAGGAGATGGAATGGCGTAATTCACAGAGAGAGAATCTCTTTAAGGCAGAGGTGGGCTGAGTAGTCCAGAAAAACAGTGCAGAGGATGCTCCCGCAGTAGGATTTGGGGTGTTTCTACAAACACATAAGAGACTCACTGCTTTGGGGTGGAGCTGAGACTCACTCTCTGGAAAGTAGGTATCGAGAGCATTGTAGATTTTCCCGTGGGGCTGCTCCTCCTGAAGCATGTTCATAATAATCTGAGAAAAGCAGAAAGCAAGAGAGGGCCCGTTTAAAACGATTCCCCCCTAAGGCAACCTGAGATCTGGGGGAAAGCAGGGGATACACCTCCCCATCTGGGGTTATCTGGTAGAGGGAGCCATGGTGACGACCTCGGAGAAGGCATCCAGAGGCTGTTAGGACAACAACTGGTGTAAAAGGTTAACATGCATCAAGACCGAGAGAGTATTGAAAAAGGTCTCAGACTGGCTCCCACTGACTCAATGGGGTGTAAGAGGGAATGGGCAGACTTGCAAGTTCTGTTCCTCTAGCCCAGTGTTTCTCAACCTCGGGCCCGTGGAGATGGGTGGACTTCACCCCCCAGAATTCCCCAGCCGGCCTGGCTGGGGAATTCT